TGTGGGTGTGGGTGTGGGTGTGGGTGTGGGTGGTGTGGGTGTGGGTGGTGTGGGTGTGGGTGGTGTGGGTGTGGGTGGTGTGGGTGTGGGTGTTGGGGTGAGTGTGGGTGTGGGTGGACGTGGATGTGTGGGTGTGGATGGTAGGTGTGTGCGTGGCAATTCTTCATGCCCACATTCACCACCACACTCACACCCCACATTCTATGCAAAATGAAAAAAATAATATTCGTAATTTGACTTGATGAGCAGACATTAATCAGAAGTATTGTGTTATGAGACAAAAGTAAATCGTACAGAGAAATAATCTTTTAAAATCCAGTGATTTCTGTATGCAAAAAAGATACATGTAATAGTTTCTTACCCTCAAGTAAAGGAAGAAATAGTACGAAAATGATGTGAAAGCAAATAAAATGCAACGATGCAAAACTACTTAGCTTCCCTGCTTCGAAATAAAAACTGTTGATCATGATTTTTTTCAAAATGTGATTTTCGATATAGTACTAGGTTGAAAATAATATTTTGATAAAGGATACCGCTATAATTTCAAGTAGAGTAAATAATGAATTTTAGATCAAATGAAAGCTCATCGAAAACGGGTTTTTTTGGTACTAAATAGTAAGAGTTATCGGAACTTTTTAATGTCGAACTTAAGAAATTTTCAAAAACTTTCTACATTTTTTTGCGTTGAAAATTAAGGTGCTAGTAATTTAGACGTGGAGTAAAATTTTTTTCTTGGATATTTTTACATAGTTCGATAGAGCTTGTCGAGCTCTATAAAACTGTATATATTAAAAGTTTTTGAAGCCATTTTTCTGAGATAAAAAATTCAAGGACTACTTGAAAAATCTTTAAAAATATTTAAAAAAGCATTTCTTTATAACTCATTAGACGCAGTTTTTCACGCTACATCTGATGGGTATATTTTGAAGCATATGTGATAGTAAAAATAATGAAAAAAGCTAATTTTACTGAATAATCGAGTATTTTTCTTCGATATAAAAAAATACGTTTTTTAATATTTTGAAAGATTTTTCAAGTAGTTTTTTTTTTGAATTTTTTATCTCAGAAAAATGGCTTTAGAAGGTTTTAATATGTACAGTTTTATAGAGCTCGACAAGCTCTATCGAACTATGTAAAAATATCCAAGAAAAAAATTTTACTCCACTTCTGAATTACTGGCACCTTAATTTTCTATGCAAAAAAATGTAGAAAACTTTTGAAAATTTCTTAAGTTCGACATTAAAAAGTTCCGATAACTCTTACTATTTAGTACCAAAAACACCCGTTTTCGATGACCTATCATTTGGTATAAAATTCATTATTTACTCTACTTGAAATTATAGCAGTACCCTCTATCAAAATATTATTTCCAACCTAGTACATGAGATTGCGCTGAAACATTTTGGACATAATGGGAACATTTCTTTTTATTTCAAATCAGGCTTCGTTTCAGTTTCATTCCTCTTTACCTTTCAGATGTATGATAATTTTGCTAGACATATGAGATTCATTATTTTCGAAGTTCTGTATTTCCAAGGAAGTTCAGTTCATCTTACAAGGTAGACTGAAATTTTTTATATTTGAAAGAAAACATTCGGGGTAAGTGACACTTGTGGCTTTTTTATTTTGTATTTTGTTATCTCTTTGAGGTATCTATCGAGTCAAAATACCTCATAAAGCTGAGAAATTTTATGAAAAGAACAGCGAATTTTTATAACCGAAGAATCTTTATCCTTTAACTAAGACCTATTTTGAAAAAAGCGACAACAGTCATTAATCTTAAGTATCTTCTTTCAGACTTATCTCAAATGATCATGTTTGTTAAATCTTTCGAGAATCATTTCTTGACACTGGCAACTCAAAGTTTTTCAAACATCGCTTACGATCATTTGCACAGAATACTAGATGTTATCTTGTTTATCACATACTTCATCGTTTTCGAACTTTTATCATTTTGAACTGGAATCATTAGATTTTTACTGATAAATTTTAAAAGTCTAAGATGATCCGAAATGGCACAAAACAAAAAGTCAAAAAAATCCTAAATCTCAAAAATCTGCTTTTCTTCCTTGTATATCGAACCCTAAAGGGTTTTGATAAATATTCTTCTATTTGAGTAAAGTAGGATCGCATTACATTTAGTGTTGAAACCTCGAACATACATACACTCAAACTGATCTTGCACATTGTTGTAGTTTTCGTTATTGATGAATGCAAAAACAACAGTAAGAACTGTGTACTAGACAACAAATTCTTTAGTTACATTACAAAATTGATACGTTTATTTTGATTTTGAGCATCTTCATAGCAGCTTGATAGAAAAGGCATTTTTGCGTGCAGTTATTATCATTAATCCTCACATCAATGATGAATGATCAGTTATATCACTAAACCCACAATGTATTATTGATGGCAAATGGATTATGCTATAAACAAGGGGATCCTCTTCACAAGATCACAATTTATCGTCGAGAGAGCATTTCTAATGGTAGTACAATGCACGAAATAATTTTGTCTGAAGCCACTGCATTATTGATCTGTTTGCAACATCCATTAAATCGCATAAGGATCTTGCATAGATTTTCATCATTGAAAAAAACTTCTTTGAGATCGAAAAATAAAGCTAATCAGTGCCTCTCTTCGTGAACCTATCTATTTATTTAGAATTTTAGAATTAAGTTATTGATAAAGATAATGCAGTATGACATCTGTAAGTAGTATATGCTTAAAATTAGAGGTAATCATTCAACTGAATCTTTGCATCGAAATTCTTCTTCTTTAAATTGGATCGTTTTTAAGGTCTTTGTAATAAAATCTTTGATGGTCCACTCCAATGAGCCATGTTCACCATACTTCTTAGCGTAATCCACAATCTCTAATGCCTTTGATTGCATCGAACGCATGGAATCCACATTTCTATTAGGAAAATATAAATTACCCGATCTTAATTCTCAATTAAATCAGAACTCGAACAGTTACATGCATTGAACATAATTGAAGTCTTCAGAAGGGTATCGTATTCGCTCAGCGAAAGGTCAAATGGTGAAAGCTTTTGAACGAATGGACACCAGCAAAAAGATATTATGCGAGAGGACTTTGAGTGATAAGGTAAACTAGCGAAAAATAACTTATCCAAAAATGCTGAGTTACCTACGATGAAAATGACAAACAAAATATTCCGTCCGTCACATATTCATCATAATCAACCAAGAGAAACTGGATTGATCTATTCTTCGAAGTCGATCTTTTTTCATGACGATCTTCCTCAGTAATCGATGAAAGAGACGAATCATAATATTGAAATGACAAAACATTCCACAAAGTGTCCTTATGATTTTTCATCGAAAAAGTGTGAGATGGTGTGAGTATGAATGTGTATAGAGAATACTCACACCCACACCCCATATTCACACTCTTGAATACGTGGTATGCTAGCTACGTGTACAATAAAGACAATTTTACAACAGATGCTTTACTGCTTGATAAAAACAGCCTAAATTTAGCTTCCATCCTTGAATATTGGGTAATCATTGATGTTTTTCATAATTGCAAGAATCTTTTTTAAGTTAAAAATTAATTTGTACTTTTCATTTCAGTGCATCTATGATTTATTTATAACTAAATCGTTTTAATCACTACTTCAACATGATAATTATAACTAATATTTTTCTGTCTTGATATATTGAATACGTCAAGCGTGAATAGTCACGCACATGTACAAATGTGCACTTGCATTGAATAAAAGAAAGAAAAAAGAGAAGAGAAGAGTGTGACTTTAATCTTATTGAGAAATCTTTTTTTTCTAAAATTTTTGTTGGAAATTTAAGCATATGTCTCCGTGAAGAGTTCACAAAATACTCAGTCTTCACACTCCTCTCAACAGTTTAATTTTCCTCAACTTAGTAGGAGATCAAAAAGTTCGAATCGATTGATATATGAGCAACTAATTATTGTCAAGCAAGCTCCAATATATACTCGATCCTGTTCGATGATCGAAAGAAAATACCAATAAATCATTGATATAGCGCATATTCTGCCGATCAGCAGATACGTTGTTGATCATCGTCAATTAAGCTTTTCGAATCAAGTAAACAGAACGAGCAAAACGACAGTGATATTAATAGAAAAAACAAATAATATCCTTATTAAATCTTACATTCTATTAATATACGTGTTGATGTGAATGCGCAAAAGC